AGACTCGGAGGACCAGCTAGGAGCCAGCCCACGTGGGGCTTGTCCGGGCAGGACGCGGGCAGGCGGCGGGCCGAATCTCGGAGTGAGAACTCGCAGATCGCGAAAGGACAAATAGGATTAGGGAAGGCAAACTTCCTCCCCGGCCAGGTCCGAAGCAGTTTCCACACCCTGCGGAGAGATGCTCCCCTCGCGGGGCTACGCGGTTGTACAAGTGAAGCTGCGACGATTGCTAGGGATGCACTTTCTTTCGTTTTTAAACATTCCGTGTAGTAGTTCATTCATTCGTTCCACCCGCACTTATAGAACGCCCTCGTGCCAGCCGCCGCCGCGTTGGCTTCCAGGGAAACGTGGATCTGTGTCGCGTCCTGCGCGTGAAGTGGCCGGGTCATTGGAGGGCGGCTGGGTAGAGGAGGAGTGAGAATCCCTGCTTTTGCGGAGTCACCCCTGCCCGCTACCTTCCTTCCGGGACTCGGGGGACCACGTCCCCTGCACAGAGTAGGCGCAGCACACAGTGGGAAGAGTGGCACAGCCTTCACCGTGACCCCCCCACACTTCTCGAAAGCTGTGATTCATCCACCCACTTTCTGGACAGTCTTTCCTGCAGCTTGTTTTAATCACTTTTGGAGTTAAAAGTCAATATTTAATTAGCCAAGTAATTACATTCGGCTTACGTTTGAATCTGGGTGTGTGCTCCCCGGTGCGTGTTGGGGCACCCACCCTCCCCCTCCATCTGTCCCCTGCCTCTTTCCCACAGTGCCTCCCCCCAGTCTCTGGGGGTGACCAGGCAGGTGAGCAGCTTTCCCAGGACACCCCAGAGTTGTGCACCCGCGGAGTAGTTAATAGTGAAGGGGGCGCCTCCCCTTGTCCGAGGGGGAGAGGTTTGATTAAATTAAACTCTTCCTTAAAGATCGGAGGGGGCAGGGCGGGGCCCTGAATACCGCTCCCCAAGGGACATCTGCCACGCCTTGCTAGACCCTCTCCTAGGGAGAACTGGACCTCTGTCCCGTGTGACATAGTGTTGGAGCTAGCAGGTCTGGGCTGATGGTGCGGGGGACGTTTGCACTGCGCTCTGACTTCACAGCCAAATTTGTGTGCACAAGGACAGGGTGCTGGCGTCACTGCTGTGGCTGAGGGTCACTGTGGTTTTGGACTTTGGACTCTGTAACATTTTGGGTTTTTTTATTTGAATTTATGGCTTTTTGTGAAACCCTAATAACATGTTAAGTTTTCAAACTTCAGGGTTGAAGGGTGAGTGACCGCAGACATCCTGAGCTGCAAGGAGGCCTCCTGCGTGTGGCTGAGTGCGGGGCTGTGACCCCACCCCAAAGCTCAGTGGCTGGCTTCCCAGGCACCCAGTGAGGGGCAGTCTAGGTCCTGAAGTTCCAAGTCCCATTTGGGATTTGGGATCATATTTCCCGTCCCCTCTCTGGCTTTGGTGGCTCTAACTACTTGCCCTGGGTGGGTGGGGCAGCCTGTGGTCTCCTGGAATATAGGAATATACAGGCAGGAATATAGTCCAGCTTTTAGAATTTGTTCCTGGAGACCAGAAGCCCTGTGCTGCTGAAGAATATCAGCATTTCTGAGCAGCTTGTAGTTAAAAGAAAAGGTAGAGTCTAGAACCAATACATAATTTAGGGAGTATCACAGGGGCCAAAAGAATTCCAAGCCGTTATATATAATAACTCCTCGAATCCACAGAAACCCAAGAGCCAGGTGTTGTGGTTGACATCATGTTAAAGGTGAGGAAACTGAGGCACAGAGGGATTATGACTTGCCAGCAGTGGTCAGTGGTGGAGCCCTTGGGCTCTAGGGTCCAGTTGGAACCCTCAAGTGGGCCGTGCTCTCAACTTGAGCTTTTATCCAAATGTAGGAAAAAAGCGGGCTAAACCAAGAACACAGAATAATGTTAAAAAGTAGAAAGCCACTGATATTCCTTCTGCTCTCCCAAACCACCGTCATTTGGGGAGTCTTGGGTTTGTCTTTTAGGGTTTTCTGCCTGGAAGAAATTGCATTTCCTGAGTTCCTTTCCCTTCTGTCTGTGCCTGTTCACTCCCGCGTCACAGGGCAAAGGGAACTAGGAAATATGCCATCTGAGAGTTTGAGCCCTTTGAGAGGACCGTGGCAAGAGGCTGGACATCCTCCCAGAGGTGAGACACTCATGGTTGGGGACAGAGTCGCCCCGTGAAGGCCCCAGGTCTAGGGCACTGTGTCTGGCTGTGTGCTGGTGGCCGTGGAAGGGGGCCCCCATGCTAAGCCCCACCGGCTCCCCAGCGAGGACACCCTCCCTGTGGCCTGCCTCCCCAAGACAACCTCATGACAAGCCCTGGGGGGAATCTGCAGATGCCCCCAACCAGCAGGATTCAAGGCGCTATCTAATTGGGAAATCATTAAGATCATTATAATTAATTGGCATCCTGATAAATGGTGTGATTGCCTAATTGGAGCAGTTGCTAGGGAACTGGGCCTCACTTGGAGCCTAGAGGGGAAGAGGCGCTGGGCTGGCCGAAGTTGGCGTTAGGGTTACAGACCCGGCTGGGCATGGGCAGGAGGCCAATGTGCCTCACCGCCTGGGCTGCGCTGTCTGAGCAGCTGGCGCTTGGGAGTTGCAAATGGAATATCAGGGTTTTCCTAGAAGGATGGTAATCAGGGCTCTTTCTCTTGCAAGCCACAGAAAGGGAAAAAAAAAACCCTCAAACCTGGGTAAGCAGAAGGGGCCCTGTTGTTTAAGCCGGTGCCACAAAGGCAAAGCAAAGATGGAGGGGGCTGGGGCCTCAGAGTTGGTCATGAGGGTCCATTCCCTTCCATCTCCACCCTGCCTTCATGGCCCCGGCTTTCTTCCCAGCTCTGAGGCCGCAGGCTCTGGCAGCTGTGGGCCCGGTGGCGAGGACAGCCGGGCTGCCTGGCCACCTGCCCAATGACAAGGCGGGGGCGTGTGACTCAACCTTTCTGTGCCTCTGTGTTCTCATCTGACGAATGGTGATGATCCCAGCACCTGTCCCTGGCTGTGGGAAAGGGTACATGAGATCACCAATGTCAAGTGTTTAGCATAGCATCTGGCTGTTACTGGAATGGAGGTGCAAGACCTGTCCTTCCATCTGCATGGAGGAAGAACAGGCTTCTTTCGAGGAAATGCCCACCTGAGCCCCAAGCTCCCCTCTAGCTGGATATTACTCTGTTCTCAGTGCAAACAAGTCACTGACCACAGATGTGAGTTGCACACAGTCAGCTCAGGGTGGACACCTAGGCCTATTCTGGGGGGTGCCAAGGGGGCCCCAAAACCCAGGAGAACGCAAGCGGCAGTGGTCTGCACTTTGGCTAGGTGGGGACCTTGGGAACAAACCCTTGCCCTTTCCCGCAGGGCAGCAGATGTCCCAAGACTTAGCTGCACAGATACAGCCTGGCCCTGGTCCTGCGCTTTCAAGGAGCCAGATTGCCCAGCCCTGCACTGTAAAAGTTACCTCAAGGTGCCTACTTAAAGTGTGCAAGCCCCAGACCTGGGAGTGAGCGGTACACTCCTGTAGCTTCCAGATCCACAGAGGTTTGGGGAGGAGGCCCTGGACCTGCCTGGCCAACAAGGGCTTTCCAGGTCGCCCTCGCACACATGGGCTCTGTGACTCTGCCGTGGGCCGGGCCCTGGGTTGGATCAGAGGCCAGCAACGGAGGACCCTGCACTTCCAGGGACCAAGAGGCTGAATCAGCTGGAGCAAACCAGTCCATGGCAGGGCTGTTTCTGAAAGCCAGAAGTACCTCAAGAAATAAAATAATGATGGACGGAAGATCGCTGCATGAGGGGTTGTCATGGGGGCAACGTCAGGCAGGTGGGCTGCAAAAGCCTCTGAGGAGGTCACCTGTGAGCTGTGGCCTACATTTTAGGAAGTAGCTGGCCTTGGGAGAATCTGGAAGGAGGGGGCCCTGAGGCAGAAAAGAGGGATCCATCCCATCCCTTGTGCAGGGCACAAATGCAAGCCCAGAGGTCAGAGGTGACACAGTTATACTATTGTCAGTGACATGGGAAACCATTAGCGGCTTTAAAGTAGGGAGTGGCGTGATTTGTGTCTCAGAGGCCGTGGCTCCTGCAGGAGGAA